GGAGTGGGGGGCTGGTGGGTTAGAGCAGGGGGGGGCTGGGAGCCAGGACTCCTGGGTTCTCTCCCTGGCTCTGGGAGGGGAGTGGGGGCTGGTGGGTTAGAGCGGGGGGGAGGTTGGGAGCCAGGACTCCTGGGTTCTCTCCCCGGCTCTGTGTGTGTTCCTGAGTCTCTCCTACCCCGGCCCCTCTGGCTCTTTTCAGATCGACCAGGTTCTGATCCAGCAGAAAGTGGAGCTGGTGGAAGGTGAGCGAGGGCTGCGCAGCCCCCCCCCCCATAAACACACACACACACACACACACACACACACCACATCCTCCCAGCTCCACGCAACACAACATCCTCTCAGCCATACACAATACACACACACAGTGCCAGCCATACACAATACACCAGCTCTACACACACACACCATCCTCTCAGACACACACACACATACTGTGCAAGCCATACACAACACCCCAGCTACACACACCGTCCTCTCAGCCATACACAACACCCCAGCTACACACACCATCCTCTCTTCTGTACACAACACACAACTATACACACACGCCATAGTCTCAGCCATACACAACACACACACCGTGCCAGCCATACACAACACCACAATGACACACAGACACTGTTCTCTCAGCCGTACACAACACCCCAACTACACACTGTGTGCCAGCCACACACAAGAAACCAACTACACAGACACACACCTTCCTCTCAGCCATACACAATACGCCAGCTACACACACACCATAGTCGCAGCCATACACAACACACCAACTACACCCACCCACACACTCTCTCAGCCATACCCAACACACACACCACTTTACACTCTACTCAGCAGCCACACCGCAACCGCTGGATCCCCTCTACCACACAACCACACCCCTACAAAGAGAACCCCCACCCCCCCACCCCAGCCATACACAACACACCCGGGCGCACATACCTGCTCCCACACCCAACCCCACAGAGTGCCGGGGTTACTGAAGATGGAGGGGTGGTTTGGGAGGGGGGTGTAGGAGGCCGCTATGACGGTTGTGTCAAGCCACTGAGGTAGCCAGGGCTGTTGGCGTTGGCAACAGCAACTGAGGTAACCATGACGGCTGTTGTCGGCGCTGGTTGTTGCTGGAATCAGTTGCTAAGTCAACTGGGACAGCTGTTGACAGCGACTGAGGCAGCCGTGACAGTTGGCGACACTGACTAGGGCAGCCATGATGGTTGACGATAGTGACAACGGCGGCCATGACCATCGGTGACCAGGGCAGCCATGACAGTTGTCATAGTGACGAGGGCAGCCATGATGGTCGTTGACGAGGGCAACCGTGACGATGGGTGACGAGAGTAGCCAGGATAGTTGTGATGACCACGAGAGCAGCCAAGATGGTTGGCAATGAGGCGGCCATGACAGCTGTGATGGTGACAAGGGCGGCCATGAGGGTTGCCGACAAGGACGGCCATGACGGTTGGCGACGGCGGTGTCACCGCGGTAACCGTCTCCCCTCTTCCCCTCCCAGCCTTCATCGGCTTCGAGACCGCCAACAAGTACGAGCTGCGGGACGGGCTGGGCCGGCAGATCTTCGAGGCCAAAGAGCAGAGCGACTGCTGCACCCGCAACTGCTGTGGGTCCCTGCGGCGCCTCCGGCTGAGCGTGGCCGAGCCGGGGGGCCGCCCCGTGCTGCGTCTCCTGCGCCCCCTCAAGTGCGCCACCTGCTGGTGCCCCTGCTGCCTGCAGGAGGTGAGGGACGGGCGCCTGCGGAGGGGCCCCCCCATCCTGGCACCACCCCGTGTTCCTCCCCCTCCCGGCCCCCGCTGTGTCCTGCCCGCTGCATCCCTGTGTCTCTCCCCCAACCCAGCCCCCACTGCGCCCCCCATGTTCCTACTGCCCCCCGTGCCCCACCACCGTGGCATCCTGCTGCCCGAATCCCTCGCCAGTCCTGTGGTTTTCCCATATCTCTCCCCCCAGCCCCCTGGCCCCAGGCACGGCTCTGACCCACCCCCTACAACCGCAAGTACCCCACTCCCCTCCCGGGACTCCCCTTCTGCCCTGACCCCTCTTTTCCCAGCCTAGGCTCCCCCAAACTCCTCAGGGGACCCACGCCCCCCTCCACAGTGCCACCCTGGCCCCCGCCCCAGGGAGGGAAGTGCCCCATGACCCCCCACAAATCTGGGCACCCCACTGCCTCCCCCCGCAATCTCCAACACTCCCAGCTCCACTCCCAGGGGTTGGCTTTGGCAGGAAGGGGGCGGGGGTCTCTCCTTCCCCCCCCCCCATTCTAACCCCTGCCCGGTGTGTCTCTCTCCCCCCTGCCCCAGCTGGAGGTGCAGTGCCCCCCGGGCACCACCATCGGGCACGTGGTGCAGACCTGGCACCCTTTCACCCCCAAGTTCTCCGTCCAGAACGCCGAGAAGGAGACGGTGCTGCGCGTGCTGGGGCCGTGCTGCGTCTTTCGCTGCGGGGGGACGTCAACTTCGAGGTAGCTGGGGGGCCCGTGGGGCGGAGGTTGGCGTCTCTTTGGAAGGGGGCACCTGGGGAGGCAGGACGAGGGTCATCTGGGCCTGGAGGGGGGCATGTGGGGGCAGGATGGGGGGCATCTGGGTCTGGAGGGGGCATATCTCGGGGCAGGAAGGGGCATCTGGGTCTGGGGTTGATGTCTCGGTGGA